TGCTGTGCTGGCTGAAACGAACCACTAGATCACAGTAGAAAATAGTCCTATAGTCTTCTCGCCGAGGGGGGGAGGGGAGATTATAGGGTTTTTTGGTTCCGAAATTAGAGAGTATTAAGCGCATTAATCCTCAGGTGAATGTTCTTTTTCATGCTTTGCAAACTTAATATCGTTATATTTTGATCTTTTCTTGATATTTTAATCATTTTACAACTTAACAAAGGTCCAAATTTGCTCTTGTGACGAGTTCAATTTTCTCCAGAATTCTGATTGGCTCAGATCCATTTTATTTTTACTTGTAGATGATACCTATTGTAAGAGTGTTTTCACTGAATAGTTCTTCTCATTTCCAGGCTATCTCTCTTTTCTTTGCTGGAAAAAGACTAGAAACGGAGATTTAGTATTACTGCTTGGACTAATTTAAAAATACTTCTAAAATACTGAGAATCCAAAGATATGAAATAAAGTGGCGAAAGACGTGTACGTGTGTGGTAAAACTTAAACCAAATGTGGAGCTTATGCTATTTTCTCATCTGTTATGTTCAGATTGATGCTCTTCTTAAAGCCAAGAGTATCCCAGTCTCCTTTGCTGGCTTTGTTTGGTCTCCGTACAACATATGGAGAAAAAAAAAGGGTTGTAAATACCAAACAAGCCATCGATGAAGACTTAAAGTAGACGATAGCCCGCCTGCTTCTTGCTTCTTTCACTTATATACGCATGACGAAAAGATGAGATTTATCATCGCAGTTATGAACTCTACTACGTTCAAGCCTGGATTTTTTTTTTCAGGCTTTATTCTCGTGACTGCTTAAGTAGTGTTCGTAACTGCAATGATCACTCTCACCTTCATTTATTAAATTGCTGTTCAAATTGAAATATGCTATTCATATAACCACAGTTATATATGCATACTTGGCGAGAACAGGAGCCCATTACTCAGGAAATAAACTGGTGAAACTAATTTAGCATTGCATCCCAACGTACTTGATACCACCCACCTCTCAGGCTTACGAATAAAAGGGTTAAGCTTGTCGACCGATTACTAACACCTGACGAAACTTCCAACAAAATACTTCTCATATTTCTGTGCGCCTGAAAGTAAACGTCGAAATTTGGTAAGAACATTAAGTGGCACACGAAGCTCAGTCGAGTGTGTCACTAATGTTTCTATACGCTTTGAAGCTCTTAATGATCTGTTTCTGAAAAGCCACAACAACATGGAATCGTTTTCGTTTTTATCAGCAGATGCGGAATGTTTCCACTAATGACGTCATCTGCACGTGTCTTCCTATGGATCGTAACTAAAAACCGATTCAAAATGCGTGTATTATTCAGCTTTTAATAAAGCCTTGCCTGACACTATTTTCATAATTATTCAAAGTAAAATAAACTTGAGTCAAACCTTGAAAAAAAAGCTTTGTTAAGGATTGTGTTTTCCTCGAACCTCCAAACTTTGGAAGGGGAGGCGCCGTAATTCTATCAGAAAATTCGAGACGTCCGTCGTAACGTGTTCGCCAGAGAGCTTTGATATCATCAGTTCCTCCTCAAAAAATCTGAAGCCTTTTACTCAAATAGCAGTGAAGTGTTGTATCTATAACCAGTCCTATATCGTGGTGTATTTATAGCAACTAAAGGAAATGCCAAATATTACAGAGGTTACTTCCGCCTTCTTTTCATCTTTTGTCACGCAATTTATGCGAATATGCATCGCCAGTTAGATCGTGTAATTTTTCTCTCCCTGTTCTATCAAAAGATTGTATATAAAATAAGGGTGGGCGACCGTCTTGTGCTTAGCCTGTCTCAGTTTCTAGTTTTGATTTTTCTTTTAACTTTCCAAAGAACTGAATTTTGGCCTCCCGGAAGGATTTCGTAGATCGCAAATCTCTTGCACATAAACTATTTTGGTTACGGTGCTCTCTTCCCCTCCCTCCCCCCCCCGAAAAAAAGAAGAATAGTAAACAGGAAAAGAAGAAAAAGAAATTACGCGGAAAAAAGGAATAATTAAGGAAACTTAATAAAGAAATTGAATTACTAAAGGTACGCGAAAAATGGTTACGTGACCAAATTGCGTGACCGCTTTAGCAAATTCTACCCCTCCCCTGCGATTTACTGACAAGACTTGCGCAGTGCAAGATACGCTGGCTGAGCAACATCCATGATGGCTTCTGCCAAGAAAAAGCAGGATGAGAAAAACTTAAAACTTCTTCGAGATCTCGCAGCTTTGCCCCACAACAAAAAATGTTTCGATTGTGGACAGAGGGGACCTACATATGTGAATACCACTATAGGATCTTTCGTTTGTACATCATGTAGCGGCATTTTGTGAGTAAAGTTGGCGTGTATTTTCGTCGACTTTTGTCGTATCCTATGTAGTTGAATGATTTGGCTATGCAACTCTGCTTAACGCTAATTATTTCCCAATTTTATTTTGTGTTTTTACAGAAGAGGTTTAAACCCTCCTCAGCGAGTAAAATCAATTTCGATGACAAGTTTTACTCCACAAGAAATAGAGAATCTACAGGGAACAGGAAACGAGGTAAAGTCTCGTAAAAGTGGTTTTCTTAAGACACGAGTTTAGAACTTTAGTGAAATGTAGCAGTACGTAGTTTTCGATTATAAGATCTTTTAGCGGACTTTAATGCCGTCAAGGGACTTTAAGGCGGTTTTTACCTGTTCCTTACTCGAGGGATGTTCATATTCTTCGCAGTAAATGAGATCTTGGATTGTAACACCCTCGAGCTTACGGTGTTTTATATAGCTCACTTAAATTTTCTCATCATGCGAATAGTTTGTACATTATAATACTTAGTCAGTTTTATTATGGCCTGTAATATGTAGTTAGCACATTGGGATCCAAGAAAGTGAGTTCAAAATATGTGATTGTTGATAAAACGCAATATCGTACAGCATGGTCTGCTATAAAGTTAACAACCGGTCATATCTTCCAGCCGTGACAAATCGTGACTAATTGGAATCTGCCTTGCCGATATCGATCGAGTTAGTTTCACTTTGTGCCTGTACGTTTGTACTTATTTTGTCCAACTGAACCATATCGTCAATATTTCAACGCCTTGCTATTTCTAAACCAAAAGGGAGTAAATTCGGTCTTATTACAGAGCAAAATACACTCCGTTTAGCACTGTGTATACAAAAATGGCGCGAGATCATTATACAGCTCCTTGTGGTTGCATTGTTCGCCACAAATCGAAGACAAAGCAAAGAGATTCCACAGTTGAAAGCGATAGTAGTCGGCCGTTTTTTTGATTCATTCAACTGATAAGTCACGCACAGATTGAAGACTGATTTCTCGTTCAATTCACCCTTGATGTGTTGGCTTTGTGAAAGTTAGAAATACACAGTTCGGGTCAGGCTGTTTTAAACTGCTGCAAAATATTTAATCAATTGATAGAAATACACTTTTGCAACTAAACATTGAAACTAATAGGCATCAATGCGCTCGCTGGCCGATAATTTCAAGGGAAAGAATCTTGTTTTTTTCGGTTGTTAAATATGTTGATTATTTTTACAACTTACAACAAATACTATTCATAAAGATTGCCTTCAAAACATCTTGATTGTCCTAATTTACTTTCAAGGTGTAAGTTCTTTGTGCATTTTAATGATATCCATTTAGATATGTCAAATAAATACAAAACCCTTTCCTTGTCTTAATTCTCTTTCTCATAACAAAAGTCATTAGATGCAATAAACAAAACTTAGCTTTAAGTGGAAGACAATTTTAAATGTTATATTTGACATAAAGAAACAAGGAAATACCACAATATATTATGAATACCAAAATCTAAATATGTATCTCATCTCCTAAACTATTAAAGGGTTATCAAGTCATATTTTCAAACTGACATAACTCCATTAATGATTAATATCTTCATCTAGGATACCTTTTATGTTTTGTGGTCATTACCTAACAACACTGTTATAATATTAAAAGAAAGAAAAGAAAATTGAATTTGAGCACAAAGCCTGCTTCAATTATTGTCTTAAAAAAAAAAAAAAGAAAAAAAAAACTAAGAAGTGTATAATTTTGTTTTTGAATACGATTTTTGAGAATATTATGTGAGCAAGTTGACCAGGAAACCCATTTTTAAAAGGACCCGTTCCCAAGGCTGTATGGAGAATGGGGTCCTTTGATAAGTGTAATTTGTTGAAATATACTTTTAAATATCATTACCCACTCACTGTGTGTTGACAAGTGTCTCTAACCACCATTTAAAATTCACTGTCAGTTGTTAACTGTAAAGCAAATTTCTACAGCAATAGGCAGCATACAAGAGCTTCTTATTACGAAGAAGTGTCTTGGGTTTTGCCAAATTATCATCAGTTATTGAATATATGTGAATATAAATGATGTATCACTTTTCCTAGTTGAGAAATTTCCAACACTTTTCAGTGCCCTTTGAGTTATGCATGAGGCTCTGAGTTCCATGTTTCATGCTGACATTTACTGCTGGTGGATGTAAATGCCTACATTATTATTTAATTTGTTTGTAATTAGAATTTGGATAGCAATCCATTAGTGCTGTTCCCTTATTTGTCTCTTGATACTAATTGATGTTGTGATTATACTTCTTGCGTAAATAAAATGATGTTAGCATACCCAGTAATGTGTTCAAAAGTTTCAAGGAATCCACCCTCTAGGGAATAAAAACCACATTTTTCACAGACTTTTTCACATCATAGTTACTGTTAGTAGGTAGTAACATGATTTATTTTTGAAGACAACAAAATTGCACAGGTCGATGGGGCGAGTGCAATTTGTAGTGTTCAAAAAATGTACATGTGATTATTTACACCAAATTGCACTTGAAATCATGTTGGTACTTGTTGATCACCTACACAAGGAAAGCTTCATACAAAGTCAAGATAGATGAAATTTTTACAGTGCTCACACAGGCTATTTGTAGTTGTCACTTGTGTTATAAATTTGCACTTGTGTTATGTGAAAAATGCACTTGTTTTCATCTAATCGGAAGAGCATAATTTTATCTTGTATGTTATTATGATACAAAGACCTGTATGTTAGCTCTGGAAATGCCTCATTTTGTATTCAGGGAACTACAATTGATTGTGCCTCATCTTTTCCTTTTGTGCCACATAAAAATGTTTTTTTTTTTTTTTTWAAATTTTTTACCCTCTGCAGTATTGTAAAAAGGTTTGGTTAGGACTGTGGAACTCTTCAACACCAGCTGAACCAGAATCTAGAGATGAACAAAAGATAAAAGATTTTATGGTTCAGAATTATGAGAGGAAAAGATGGTATATGCCTCCACAGCAAGCCACAGCTAACAACACAAGCCAGTCAGCACCAGAGCCCAAACCACTGAAGCAACTTTTAGGAGAAAATGCCCCTTCTGTCACAGTCCAAGTAAGTTAAAAGGGTCATTCCTATTCAGCAGTTTTCATTCCTTTTGAAAACTAAAATGACATAAAAAAGCTATCCGAGATATTTTTAAATAGAATAAGAAACTAAGTAAATAAGGGTAAATTTTTTTTGAGCTGTGTAAATGTTGTTACAAGTGTGGGACGAAGAAAAAATTATGAGTCCCTGTGAGGAATCAAACCTCAGACTGAAGATATGTAGGGGTCTGAGGCTCAATTCCTCATACTGGGACTCAGAATTTTTGCTTTGTTCCACGCTTGTGACAAGACAAAAAACATCGTTTTCCATTAAAGATGTTATTATCAATGTTATGAACTGCTTGTGGTGGCAATAGAACACATGACATTTCATTTAACTACCCTACTTTTTACCTTTGACTGGCTGAGCCTTGTCTCTTTACTCCTAGGCACAGGCAACAAGAGAGAGACCTCGTACAGGAAGCCAAACAGGTGCTTCCCCTGCACCTGTATCTGTTGCTCCACCCCCTGGCACTGCACAGCCTGCCGCTCAACCAGCTCCACAGCCAAAGCCTCCATCGGTGGATCTACTCGGAGACTTAGGAGGAGATCCCTTTGCAACTCCACAACCACAAGGTTAGACCACAGTTTTCCTTTAATTGAACATTTCACCCTCTTTATCTAAAAAGCTAAATTCTTACAACTGCAATCCTTATGTTTCTTTTCGTGCTATGGATGAGAGTTAAGTGTTGTACCAAGAAAGCTTCAGTCTTTGACAATGGTCAAGGTCTAGTTACTCCCTGCAATGCTCTGATTAATATATTACCAGTCAGTCTGGTTGGTGAGAGTGTAAACAGTCAGATGTGAACCCGATTTTATCAACCAAACCTCAGAAGAAATATTTATGATCCACTTAAAAATAATATTCTTTTTTGGTGTTGGAAAGGTAATATCTCAATGTCTTTGGTGGTATTTCAAAAACAAAATTAAGGAGTCTGAAAGGAAATTTTATATAACATGACTTAATCCATAAACTTACAAGATCTGATTGTTAATTCTCCCCTCTGGCTGCTACTCATATCTTGTGAATTAGTTAAGAGGATATGGTGTTAGATCAAGATAACAACTTTTATGGGATGATTTTGATTATTCTCATTACCTGTATGCTGATAAGGTATTGATATTGTTGGGAGAAATTACATGTTAATCACTTCTGGGAATTAAACACAAACTTAAAACTTTATTGCCTTCTTCGTGCTACCTTGCAATACTGTTATACAACTTGGGGTTGCAATGAACAGTCTACTCCAAAAATTTGCAAGTTCCAATAATTACAGGTTGTACTGCAATATTGCTCATTGATTTTGGTCTTCAATTGTCTTATGAAGAAAATGTTGGTTTGGGCTAGCATCAAGAATTTCTACCCCAGTGATGCTAAATTTAAGTTTTTCTTGAAAATATATTTACATTAGCTCTGATAATTAATTTCTTTTAGGTCAGTTTGGATCACCACCACAACCAGGTGGCTTTGGATCTTTCAATGCATTTGGTGCACCAGCAGCTGGGCCTGCTCAGAATGCATTTGGTGGGCCAGCAGCTGCACCTGCTCAGAATGCATTTGGTGCACCAGCAGCTGCACCTGCCCAGAATGCATTTGGTGGGCCAGCAGCTGCACCTGCTCAGAATGCATTTGGTGCACCAGCAGCTGCACCTGCCCAGAATGCATTTGTTTCACCAGCAGCTGCACCTGCTCAGAATGCATTTGGTGCACCAGCAGCTGCACCTGCCCCTGCCCAGAATGCATTTGGTGCACCAGCAGCTGCACCTGCTCAGAATGCTTTTGATCCATTTGGGTCATCAGCACCCCAACCTGCTCAACAATCTCAGCCAAGTTTTGCTGCATTTGGAGCCCCACCCCAGCAGCAACAGCAACCTGCTCCTCAACCACAACAGCAAACTAATTTGTTTGATGCATTTGGATCACCTCCGTTAGCATCAGGAGGGTTTAATGCCTTTGGTGCTCCTGAATCATCAGGTTAGAGAACATGGCTTGAACTTTGCTTCCAGAGTTTATACAAGGGTTTTTCCAAGAATATGACAGCAACTACCTTCTAAAACAAATGCTTCAGCACAGAAAAGTTGATTTCTATTGCCATTTTCAATCTCACAAAAGTTTCTTCTGCTACCCTAAGTTGTGGCCATCAAAAATGTTCAGGAAACATTACTTTGTAACTGTTTGATGGCCACAATTTCTTTGTGAATTCGTCAGCTGATCATAAATTCTAACGTAACATGGCAGTGTCAAAACGGTGTCTTGTTCTTTTCTTTGATACCGATAGGGCAATGGGAACAAGCACCCTAAGGGTGAAATGGTTTCTTAGGTCTGTAGGCAGCTAGAAAACAGGAACATATGTATAGCATTTTCTGGGAAGTCCAGGGGGGTATTACTTGCTAACTCAGATTCAAATTGGTTTAATATCCTTTCCCTCAGGAATACTAAAAACTAGGAGCATTAGTTCAAGGGGATTTAATTATTTCCGTGATTTCATTTTTTCCATGATTTCCTTTATTTTTATAATTTTCTTTTCAGTGATTGAAATGTTTGATAGGGAGCAATGAGAAAAATGCAAATTTTTTTTTGAAGAATGAGGTTTGAATTTCCTTTTGTTTTTAAATCTACAATTCAGCCCCATCACAACCACAACCAACATCAAATGCCGGATTTGGTCCACTTGTGTCAGCATCTGGAAGCTCAGCTTCCCAAAACACAGCAGGTGACAAGTATGCAGCATTGAGTGAGTTAGATAACTTGTTTGGTCCGTCAAGTGGCGGTAGTAACGCAAGTCTCAGCACTGGAACTGGCTTTGGTTCTGGTGGTTCATCTTCATTTGGAATGTCTAGTGGACCAAATCCTTTCTCTAGTACATCAGCTGGATCTGTATCAGGAGGTTTTCAGCAGCCCAAACAGCCACAGCAGCAGCAGCAGCAGCCGTCCAATCCATTTCAAGGTCTGGGAGGAGGCCCTGCAGGGTTTGGTCAGTTAAATGGTCCTATGAATCCAGCAAACAGCATGAGCACAACCTCTGGTACAGGATCAGTATTTGGTGGCCAGCCAAGTTCAGGATTTGGTGGTCAGCAGTCTTTCAGCAGCAGTCAGCCTGTAAATTCAGGCTTTGGTGGTCAGCAATCATTTAACAGCAGTCAGCCTGTAAGTTCAGGATTTGGTAGTCAGCAGTCTTTTAGCAGCACTCAATCTTTTTCTGGTGGCTTTGGCAACTTATCAACAACACCTCAGCCATCATCATTCGGTGGAAACCAGCAGTCTGGTTGGGGTAGCATGGGAGGTCAGCAACAAATGGGTGGCCATAATATGCGTATGCCATCAACATCGACCCAACAGAATCTTAGCTTTGGTGGAGCAGGAATGGCTGCAATGGCCTCAGCGCAATTTGGAAAAATGGGAGGTGGCTTACCACAACAACCTCCGGTGAGAGGTCAAATGAACTTTGGTGGAAATCAACCTGGTTTTGGCAATAGTCAGGGATTTGGTGCTGGACAGCCAACATCCATGTTTGGAGGTTCAACGGGTGGATTTGGAGGAAGTCCCATGTCTAGCAGCAGCAGCTTTGGAGCTCAGCAACAACCCTCTGGGTTTGGAGCTCCTGGAGGCTTTGGTGCACAGCCAAGTGCTGGATTTGGAAATCAGGGAGGAGCAGCATTTGGTGGTAACATGTCTGGAATGGGAGGCAGTCAGTTTGGACAACAGCAGCAAATGCAGCAATTTGGGGGATGGCAACAAAGTCCACAGGCCAATCCATTTATGGTTAGTGTGTGAAATATGTTTTAAATATAGATTTGGCAGGCATGATGGCCAAAAGCATGGGTATTGTACCTTCCCCCCATATATCCATTTTCCATTGTCATCTTGGTATTTGCCTTTATTTCAAATTCCCATTTACCTGAAGTGTATTGTTACGCCTATGCTTAGAAGCCTACATTGGCTGCCTATGTCGCCCGTATTGATTTTAAGATACTTCTCGTTTTTAAGTATTAAATGGCCTGAGTCCTCTGTATCTTAGTGAACTGTTAAGACTGTACATTCCTAATAGAAACCTAAGATCTTCTAATAAAAAAACTCTTAATGGTAGCTAAATGCAATTTAAAACATATGGATATAGAGCCTTCTCTCATAGAGCTCCTACTCTGTGGAACGCCTTGCCGGATGATATTAGGCAGGCAAGTGGACCTTTTAACAACATTTAAGTCTAAACTTAAAACCCATTTATTTAGACAGTTGTAGATTTTGCTTTCATTGATTTTTCACTAGTCTTTTAATTCACTTTGACACCTGAACCGCCCGTAACCAAATATGCAAATAGCATACAAATAGCAATGCGTAAAAAAATAGCGTATGCAAATAGCATACCATTATCCACCAGGGACTTTAAGGATTACCTAGGGAATTCAAATTACACCAATTCTTTCTTCTTTGACGCTGTCACTTCTACTGAAATTGAAATGGAAATTTTGAGTACTCAATCAAAAAAAGCCTACGGACTTTATTCATGTCCAGTTCGTCTTTTGAAGTCCGCACGTCAAGCTATATCTCATACCCTAGCTGAACTAATGAACATGTCCATTTCAACTGGTATCTATCCCCACAAATTAAAGCA